CTGTCTGAAAACCAGCTCACGTGGCGCGGTGTCCTGAGAAAACGAACCCCCCAGATCTGCCTCCCAGCTCTTCCTATGGGAGCTATCTCTGGGTTTAACACAAGCTGTGTTTGCTCTGGCTAAGTTGCTGACAGTGATCTCTGCAACTCCCTTTTTTCCCGTCTGGAAAGTGAAGAACTGCTTTAGTGACTCCAGACAGCTTGGAAACTGGCAGCAGGATGGTGAGGACGGCGCTGCATCCCACGCTTTCGTGAAACCTCCCCTGACATCTGGGCTGCAGCACAGCTCCCAGCTCGTTTAGGTCAATAAGTTGCCTTTAATCCCACTCTGGTCTGTTTCCCACACGTTTTTCTAAAGGTATAATTGACTTAAAACATTAGCTTCAGGTGTGCGAGATTTGACACTTGCATACATTGCAGAATGACCACAGTACGTCTTGCTAACATCGTCACCATACCATTAGAACTTTTTTTTCTTGTGATGAGAACTTTTAAGATCTACTCCTCAGCGACTTTCAAATAGGCGATGCAGTATCAACTATAGTCCCCACGCTGTACTTGACATCCTCATGACTTATTTTATAACTGGAAGTTTGTACCTTTTGACCCCCTTCACCTATTCCACCCCCTGCCCCCCACACCTCTGGCAAACCAGCAATCTGTTTTAAGATTCCACATATGAGATGGTTTGGTATTTGTCCTCCTCACTGACTTATCTAATTTAGCATGATGCCCCCCAGGTCCATCCATGTTGTCCCATATGGCAGGAATGATTTCTTACGGCTAAACAGTATTCCATTGTTTACATACACCACGTCTTTATCCACTGATGGACATGTAGGTTATTTCCAGATCTTGGCTATTGTGAACAATGCTGCAGTGAACGTGGGGGCGTCAATAACTCTTCACATGTTCCTTGTGGGATATTATTGTAGTAAGAACCACTACAAACTGTGCTGGTGTCAGTTTTTCTGTATTTCACATAGTTCAGAAACTAAATCTAAAGAAATCTTGACTGTTCAGAACAATCATAGTAATGACTAATTGGAGGAACCGCAGTACTGGTGGTCACGTTAGACTGCAGGGGTGGCCGGAGCCGACAGTGCAGAGGGGACAGAGCTTTTGGCTGGAGAGGGAGGGTTAGACGGAAGAGTACTTCCCTGTGGAGAAGCCGGACACACTTGGGCCGGGCGGTCAGGGGCAGCATCAATGGTCATAAATCCTGTGGACAGTCCGTGCCCTCCAGACGACAGGAGAATGGCGCTCTTCATCCCCCAAGCCCGTAATCCCAGTCTACTCGTGAGGAACAGCAGACGAACGCCAATAGAGCACGTCCTGCAATGTCCCCGTCTATCCTTTTCAGCACTGTCAAGATCCTCATAAACAAGGAAAGTCTGAGAAAGTGGCCTCACAGCCAAGGAAGACCTAAGGAGATGTGACAGCTGGGGGTCACGTGTCCTGGATGTGACCCTAGAACAGAAAAGCACAGGAGGCCTAGCTTCTCTCTCTGGAATACCTTGGGTTCTTCAGGAGGTGCAGAATCTGATATTCAATGTCTGGTTTTAAAAACTGTCTGAAACAGTGGTATTCAAGCATCTGCCTGACAAGTTGTTCTAGCACACATCGTGACCATAAAAATGCAATGTAATAAAACCTTTTAGGAGAAGGGTGTTTGCCCTGAGAGGTCGATAATGATTTCTCAAGGAGGTGATGTCACTTGAGCCAAGCCAGCCACGGAGACCCAGGAGGGCAGGGGGTGGGTGGTGGTTTAGAAGAGAGGCAGGGGAGGTGGGACCAGGTCGTGAGGGGCCTTCCACGTGGTGCTGAGCCGCTGTGCAGACGACGCGGAACTGCTGAAGACCTGCACACAGGGCAGGGATGCGGTCAGTGATGATCCGGTTGGGGTTTAGGAAAGTTACTCTGCTGTCGTGAGAGTCTGACTCGAAAGAGTGGAAGTAGGCAGAGGCTTGGGAAAATTCAGTTTTGCAGGACTGAGATTTAGGGGCCCTAAAGCAACAGGATGCTTAGTCTACAGACTGGGAGCTACAGACCCAGGGCATCAGTGGTATTCAGAATGGCAAGGTGGCAATCAAAGACGGTACTTAAAACTATGACAGAAGTACGTGATCGTAGCCAAAATAAAGTCCAGTATAAAGGCCTGCTGAGATTCATCATAAGGAGGATCATTTTCTTGAAAGTGGGAAGTGGAGGCAAGAGGGGGCGGCGTTCAAGCTATGCCTCCAGACACGGGACCATGTGAACGTGCAGAGAAGGGAAAGCACCACAGGGGCACAGGAGGGAACACTACCAGTGTGTGTGGAGGTGCGTGGGCCTCCGGAGCTGTGGAAATCCTGATTGGGGTTGGACCAGAGGCCTTGGTTTGAGCTTAACTTACTAGGAAATTGGGAGCTAACTTTCAACTAAAACTTTTTTTTTTTTTTTTTTTTAATGCAGGGAGTGAGCAGAGCTCTACAAGAACAGAAATCCCAGTGTCAGGACTGCCTGGTCGGTGCAGGTGAGGAAACCAGTGCTGCCGTCCCGTAGAAATGCAAGGTGAGCCATAGAGGTGATTTGGTTTTCTAGTAACCACATTAAAGTAAAAAACTGGTCAAATTAATAACTTTATACAACCCAATATGTCCAAGGTACTAGCATGTCAATACGTGGCACTAGTCACATTTCTGGTCCTCAGTGGCCACCGTCTAGAGGTCCTGCGCAGGCTGAGATCCCGAGTGTCAGTAGGGATCACCTGTGTTCTGCCTACAGCAGTGAGAATTAGGAGATGGATTCATGATCCCAAGTCTTCAAGCTTGGGATATCATAGTGATGACAAGATGCCACGAACAAAAACAAGGACCACACATGAGTCAGCATCTGCTGTGCAGGAAAAGAGACAATGTAGCTCTTACGGAAAGGATGATTTTTATTGCCATCCTAAATGATTATCACACCATTATTTAAACACCTGAAAAATCCTGAAGTAATTTAAACTGAAGGCACAGAAGAAATCAAAATATCTAAGCTTAAAATGAGAGAATTCACATATTTCGACAGTATCAATAAATTATGAACAAGTTTCCATCACCAAATATCATTCTGACCAACAGCTATAGTCTTTAATAATAAAACCAAATTAGCTTAAACTGATTTCAAGATTTCCATGATAAAAATAATGTTGAAAAAAAGTCGTCTTTCAAAATATTCATTTTATCACCAGGTTCGCTGTAAGCATTTTATTTATAACAAAGTGGCAGTTAGGATATTTGTTGACGGGTGACCACTCCCCAAGAATGATGCATTCTTACAAAATGTTTTAAAAAATAGCAAAGTAGGCTACAAAATTCTATTTGGGGAGCAGGAAAAAAACTTGTTCTATGTCAATTAGAATAACAAAGCATTTCAATATCAAATTGCTTCAAAAGCCAATCATCACATAACAGTAATATACTGCATAGGGCATTCCACTGTATCTTGGTTAACTGCTGATCATACAGTGTCGCTGAGGGGTTGGACAAGTCAGTAACGATTATTGTTGCCATTTCTTATTTAGTCAAGAGATATGTTTTAAAAAAATCGTTAAAAAACTCACTGGAATAATCTGTGACACGCTACAGAAACAATAAACCCCAGCAAGGCAACTGCTAAGTTTTGAAATAAAGTGGTCATGCTTCATAATATACTGTAGTATTCTGAAATACATTCTCTGATCATCAACACCATTTATTAGAGGTCACTTGTAAATTAGCTCAGATTCTGAACTAAATTTCTAAATGAAACTTTTTTCAAGTATGCATAATATTCACAAGGTAAAGACTTTCCTCTTATTCACTTCTTTATGTGTGCTTCCAATGGACAACTGTGATGGTTAAAAGACAAACAAAATGGGCTGGTCAGTTTTCAAAAACATGTCAAAAAAACATGAGATAGTCTAGTGACCAAGAAGGACTGACTGAAAAGTTTTTTAAAACTCTGGCATAGCAGGTTTCACATGTTAGTATCTTTCGGAATTTTTCCTGAAATAACTAAGTAAAGAAATAATGGGGAAAAATAACGGTTTCTAAAACACTCAAGAGAATAAAATAAAAAAGGTGTGTCTGCTACTTAGCTGTGATATATATGAATGTGCATTTAACAGCAATATGGTTTCATTTTTATCATCTAATGGCATAAATCATGAAACATTTCCAGCCAAGTTTGCTGACAGGAGTATAATACAAACTCTAGAAAACGATTTTTACCACAAACTGCTTCAAAATTTTCCTACATAACAAAACGTTCTTTTGGAAATGAATCTTTAATGCTTTTGGACTGTCCAAGTAAATGCAGCTTTTACCATCTCCAGCTCTAAACTATAATTATCTCCCAAATTCCTTTGTCACTGGATAGTGTTATCTTTTATTCTCTACTATTCTAATAATGGTACATTATTTTTAAAAAATCTCTTTAGGGGTCTCAGACTTAATATCTTCATCTATGAGTACTGAGATTAAAGTAGAAATAAAATAAGCCAGAAAAATCACCTTATAAACAGTATGAAGTTTTGAAATGTGGCACCGGTGTAAACTGGGAAAGCCTCATCCAAACTCCGAACGCATCCATTCCCAGCAGTGCCGCCCCAGGGGCAGTATGTGCTGCCCGTCTTGGGCACGTGGAACTCATTTTATGACTCAGTTAGTGAAAACAGAGCCACCAGAAGTCATCTGACCCAGCCGGCTGGCTCACAGTTTGGGCAGACTTCATTCTTTATTATAGCTCACATTTTGACAGCTGAGAATCTGAATTCTGAAAATGTGGTCTCACAGGGTTAGTGGAAGCCGGGCACTGAGCTGGCAAACGGAAGGAAACCATTTCGATAACGAAGGACGAGCCTAGCAGTTTTGACCCTGCATATACCCAGCTGTGTCTGCAGCCCCTTACAAACAGAAACTCGACAAAACCAAAGGGTTTTCTTTCCAAACCCTAAAAAAAGGAAGATGTTTGACTTAAAACCAACTTCAGAGTCTACACCAGGCTGCCAGGCCAGCAGACCACTGTCAGTGTGACTTTGTTCCTCTGCCCCTTCAGCATGGGGACCAACGCCGAGTGGCTCATGCCCACGGTCGACAGGCCGTTTACGGCCACGATCATGTCTCCACACCTGCACAACAACAGACAGAGACAGTCACTGTTTCTGTGATTCTGAAATTGTCATCCCGGGACTTGCTTCGCAGGAAAACCACACTTAACCACTGTCAATGAGTAGCCTATACTGTTTACTTTGAGAGACATCTGGGGTGATTTTTAAGCCTATGTTGGCTTTCCCTTGCCAATCAAGGACACCCCTTGCCAGCCTCTCCTCTAACTGGTAGATGATTTTAAGGGCAAGCAGAATAATTTTCATATATGCTTAAGCGACATATAGTTAAGAGAATAAATCTGCTGCCCTTTTTTTTTTTTTTTTTTTGGTGGTACATGGGCCTCTCACTGCTGTGGCCTCTCCCGTTGCGGAGCACAGGCTCCGGACGCGCAGGCTCGGCGGCCATGGCTCACGGGCCCAGCCGCTCCGCGGCACGTGGGATCCTCCCGGACCGGGGCACAAACCCGTGTCCCCTGCATTGGCAGGTGGACTCTCAACCACTGCGCCACCAGGGAAGCCCCTGCTGCCTCTTTTAAAAATACCAGATGATACATTTGGACGGTGTTGCTGATTTTCATTGGTCATCCTTACCGCTCATACATTTGAGGGCTCAATTAAATTGAGAATAAGACCCGCACCTCCTCTATCGGCTACGCACGCTCACTGTCCTCCAAGGCGAATTACCACAAACAGATGATGAATCCGAAGACCTTTCTAGCCTTTATGATTTTCAGCCTTTAGTCTGAGTACAAATACGCTACTTTACTGTGAGCTACTTTAGTTTCCTTTCGGAAGTAAGTGGAAGTTAGTTTATAATCTGCATGAGGCCCACACTGGTTGAGTAACTTGGCTAAGAGAACGGTTAAGTCATCCCCCCATTCCTCTTTCCTCCTAAAATAACGATTTTTTCCCATCTGTGTCAGGATAAGACTGATCTTATCCTGGCACACTAACCCTGATCGACTAGTCCCAATATTCTTGAGCTGTCACTCTGTGTTTGCAAACAGTGTAAACTCCCCATTTGTGCAGCACTCTGACTAGGCTGCCAGCATCCACTTTTTAAGAACCGTTTCTTTCATCCAAAACTAGGCACTAAGAACTTAGTCACCCGTCTCCTCTGCTTGTATAATCTCTTGATATAACACCTCTTACTTCTCACCGTGCCCGAGCTTTGAAAAAGAGGCGGCACAGAGATTGAGAGAGTACTTTTTGCCCAGTGGTGACAGTAGCAGGGCTGAATGGCAAAGGCTCTGAGCCACACAGTCCTGGTTTAAATCACTGTCAACTATTTCCAGCTGTTCCGACTGTGGGCAGGTTTTTAACCTGTTGAAGCCTCAGTTATCTTGCGTATAAAATAGGAACCACAGCAGCACTTACCTCACAGGTTACTAAGAAGATTCAGTAACCCGTGCCCAGCACCTAGTCCTGTGCCTGGCCCGCACATCATCCATCCAGTGTTGACGAAGACTTTACTACATATGCGAGGCCCTGTGATGGCTGCCAGGGATATAACAAGAAATGCAACAAAATCCCTCCCATGTGGACTTGCATAAATTGAAAGGCTGACATAAGTGCTGTTGAGAAAAAGTTACCTAATAACAGGACTGGACCCAAGTGTTCAGAGCAAGTTGTCACGTCACAATGTGTCCAAACGACTCAGCTTTATTTTGTTAATCTAATAACAGGCCCTGAACCTATGAGTGCCAAGATGGTAAAGGTGATGCTTCAGTCTAGATCAGGGCTGGCAAACTGCTCTGTAAAGGGCCAGATGGTAGATAAATATCTCAGGCTCTGCGAATCACTGGTCTCTGTCACAGCCACTTGGCTCTGCCATCGTGGCTCAGAAGCAGCCGTGGGTGATACGCAAACGAGTGAGCGTGCGCATGTTCCAAATAAAACTTTATAAAAACAGACATCAGGCTGGATTTGGAGCTGACCCCAGTCTAGAATAAACACAAAGTACATCATTAAACATAACAAGACTCACTTTAATCTTCCATCGTAATAAGCAGGAGTTCCCAAGACAATGGTTTTAATGAAGAAAGGCTGATTGGTGTGGTTTTCTTCATATCCACCAACGATACTGAAGCCCCAGCTTCCCAAGTAACTTCTTCGCAAAACTATATCATGGCAGCTGTGAAGGGCACTATAAACAAAAACAAATCAAGAAAAATTAGTGGCAAGGCTTTTTATAGCCTGTTCACCTTTGTTATAACTACACACCATGTTACGTGCATCATTGTTGGGGCGCAATAAACAACATGCTAGAACGTCTCATCTGGTCTACTTTCTTAGCTCAGTGATCAGCATTTAAAAAGGCTCCTGGGATGCATTAGAGTCCCACACAGTGGCCTGATATTTTAAGACAGTGCAGGTTATTTTCATTATTCTGAATCTTCTGCAAAAAAAACAAAACACAGATGAGCAGTTGTCTGGTACACCCAGCAAATCACAGTGGAAGAGCCTCCCTCTTAGGAAAACCAGAGCTGCTACCCTAGGTGGCGGCCCCTCTGACCCACAGTTGTTGAATACGGGTTTGCATAAAATAGAGACCTCTGAGAATCCACAGAACAGTGGCTGTTTATTGACAGGTATTCTTTTGACATAGGTGGGCTCAAAAATAGATTTTACTATCCTGTGTATTTATTTTTTAATTTTATATTGGAATATAGTTGATTTACAGTGTTGTGTTTCAGGTGTACAGCTAAGTGGTTCAGTTACACATATATACATATCCATTCTTTTTCAGATTCTTTTCACATATAGGTTATTACAGAATATTGCATAGAGTTCCCTGTGCTATACAGTAGGTCTTTGTTGGTTATCTATTTTATATGTAGTAGTGTGTTTATGTTAACCCCAAACTGCTAATTTATCCCTCCCCACCATGTTTCCCTTTGGTAACTGGAAGTGTGTTTTCGAAGTCCATGGCTCTGTTTCTGTTTTGTAAATAAGTTGATTTGTATCATTTTTTTTAGATTCCACATATAAGTGACATATGATAACTGTCTTTCTCTGTCTGACTTCACTTAGTATGATAACCTCTACGTCCATCCATGTTGCTGCAAATGGCATTATTTCACTCTTTTTTATGGCTGAGTAGTATTCCATTGTATACACGTACCACATCTTTATCTGTTCCTCTGTCGATGGACGTTTAGGTTGTTTCCATGTCTCAGCTATTGTAAATAGAGCTGCAGTGAACATTGGGTTGCCTGTATCATTTCGAATTATGGTTTTCTCTGGATATATGCCCAGGAGTGGGATTGCTGGATTGTATGGTAGCTCTGTTTTTAGTTCTCTAAGGAACCTCCATACTGTTCTCCATAGTGGTTGTACCAATTACATTCCCACCAACAGTGTTGTTGGGTTCCCTTTTCTCCACACCCTTTCCAGCATTTATTGTTTGTAGACTTTTTAATGATGGCTATTCTAACTGGTGTGAGGTGATACCTCATTGTAATTTTGATTTGCATTTTTCTAATAATTAGCAATTCTGAGCCTATTTTCATGTGCTATTTGGCCATCTGTATGTCTTCTTTGGAGAAATGTCTGTTTCGATCTGCCCATTTTTTTAATTGTGTTGTTTTTTTAAAATATAGAGCTGCATAAGCTATTTGTATGTTTTGGAGATTAATCCCTTGTCAGTCGCATCGTTTGCAAATATTTTCTCCCATTCTGTTGGTTGTCTTTTCATTTTGTATATAGTTTCCTTTGTTGTGCAAAAGCTTTTAAGTTTAATTAGGTCCCATTTGTTTATTTTTGTTTTTATTTTCATTACTCTAGGAGGTGGATCCTAAAAGATATTGCTGTGATTTACGTCAAAGAGTATTCTGCCTATGTTTTCCCCTTAGAGTTTTAAAGTATCTAGCCTTACATTTAAGTCTTTAATCCATTTTGAGTTTATTTTTGTGTATGGTGTTAGAAAATGTTCTAATTTCATTATTTTACATGTAGCCATTCAGTTTTCCCAGCACCACTTATTGAGGAGGCTGTCTTTTCTCCATTGTATATTCTTGCCTCCTTTATCAAAAATAAGGTGACCATATGCACATGTGTTTATCTCTGGGCTTTCTATCCTGTTCCATTGATCTATATCAGTACCATACTGTTTTGATGACTGTAGCTTTGTAGTATAGGCTGAAGTCAGGGAGTCTGATTCTTCCAGCTTTTTTTTTTTTGATCAGTATATTTTTAAATTGAAGTATAGTTGATTTACAGTGTTGTGTTAATTTCTGCTGTACAGCAAAGTGATTCAGTTTTACATATATATACATTATTTTTTGTAATCTTTTCCATTATGGTTTATTGTAGGATACTGGCTAGTTCTCTGTGCTATACAGTAGGACCTTGATGTTTACCCATTCTATATATAAAAGCTTACATCTGCTAACCCTAACCTCCCATTCCACCCTTCCCCCAATCCCCTCCCCCTTGGCAACCACCTGTCTGTTTGCTATGTCTGTGAGTCTGTTTCATACATAGGTTTATTTGTGTCATATTTTAGATTCCACATATAAGTGATGTCACATGATATTTGTCTTTCTCTGTCTGACTTCACTTAGTGTGATAATCTCTAGGTCCATCCATGATGCTGCAAATGGCACTATTTCATTCTTTTTTTTTATGGCTGAGTAGTAGTAGTCCATTGTATACATGTACCACATCTTCTTTATTCCTCTGTCCATGGACATTTAGGTTGCTTCCATGTCTTCTTGGCTATTGTAAATAGTGCTGCAGTGGACACTGGGGTGCCTGTCTCTTTCTGAATTACAGTTTCCTCTAGATATATGCCCAGGAGTGGGATTGCTGGATCATATGGTAGCTCTATTTTTAGTTTTTTAAGGAACCTCCATGCTGTTCTCCATAGTGGTTGTTCCAATTTACATTCCCACCAACAATGCAAGAGGGTTCCCTTTTCTCCACACCCTCTCCAGCATTTGTTATTTGTAGACTTTTTAATGATGGCTATTCTGACTGGTGTGAGGTGATACCTCATTGTAATTTTGATTTGCATTTCTCTTATAATTAGTGATGTTGAGCATCTTTTCATGTGCTTATTGGCCATCTGTATGTCATCTTTGGAGAAATGTCTATTTAGGTCTTCTGTCCATTTTTTAATTGGGTTCTTTTGTTGTTGTTGACTTGTGAGCTGCTTATATATTTTGTAAATTAAGCCCTTGTAGGTCACACCATTTGCAGATATTTTCTCCTGTTCTGTAGGTTGTCTTTTTGTTTTGTTTATGGTTTCCTTTGCTGTGCAAAAGTTCTTAAGTTTGATTAGTTCCCATTTGTTTTTTGTTTTTATTTCTGTTGCCTTGGGAGACTGACCTAAGAAAACACTGGTATGATTTACATCAGAGAAAGTTTTGCATATGTTCTCTTCTAGGAGTTTTATGGTGTCATGTCTTATGTTTAAGTCTTTAAGCCATTTTGAGTTTATTTTTGTGTATGGTGAGACCTGTGTATGGTGTATCTTCATTGATTTACATGCGGCTGTCCAACTTTCCCAACACCACTTGCTGAAGAGACTCTTTTTCCATTGTGTATTCTTGCCTCCTTTGTCAAAGATTAATTGACTGTAGGTGTATGGGTTTATTTCTGGGCTCTCTATTCTGTTCCATTGATCCATATGTCTGTTTTTGTGCCAGTACCACCCTGTTTTAATTACTGTAGCTTTGTAGTACTGTCTGAAGTCTGGGAGGGTTATGCCTTCTGCTTTGTCTTTTTCTTCAGGATTACTTTGGCAATTCTGGGTCTTTCATGGTTCCATATGAATTTTAGATTATTCTAGTTCTGTGAGAAATGTCATTTGATAGGGATTGCATTAAATATGTAGATTGCTTTGGGTAGTATGGCCATTTTAACAATATTCTTCCAATCGATATCCTTCCATTTCCTTGAGTCATCTTCAGTTTCTTTATTCATGTTTTATAGTTCTCAGGGTCTGTCACCCTTTTGTCAGGTTCATTCCTAAGTATTTTATTTTGGGGGGTGCAATTTTAAAAGGTATTGTTTTTTACACTCCCTTTCTGATAGTTCATTGTTGGTGTAAAGAAATGCAACTGATTTCTGAATGTTAATCTTGTATACTGCTAACTTGCTGAATTTGTTGATCAGTTCTAGTAGTTTTTGTGTGGAGTTTTTCTCATATAGTATCATATCATCTGCATATAAGGACAATTTTACCTCTTCCTTTCCAATTTGGATACCTTTTATTTCTTGTCTGATTGTTGACGCTAGGACTTTCAATACTATGTTGAATAGAAGAGATAAGTGGGCATCCTTGTCTTGTTCTAGATTTTAGCAGGAAGGCTTTCAGCTTTTCACCATTTAGTATTATATTGGCTGTGGGTCTGTCATAAATAGCTTTTACTATATTGAGATATGTTCCCTCTATATCCACTTTTGTAAGAGTTTTTTTTTTTTAAGATCATGAATGGATGTTGAATTTTGTCAAATGCTTTTTCTCCATCTGTTGAGATGATTACGTGGTTTTTGTCTTTTGTTGATGTGGTATATCACGTTGATTGATTTGCATATGTTGAACCATCCTTGCGAACTTGGGGTGAGTCCCACTTGGTCATAGTGTATGATCTTATGTGTTATTTTCTTGAGAATTTCTGCGTCTGTATTCATCAAAGATATTAGCCTATAGTTTTCTTTTTTGGTCGTGTCTTTGTCTGGTTTTGGTATCAGGGTGATGATAGCTTTATAGAATGTCTTTGGGAGTGTTCCCTCCTCTTCAGTTTTCTGGAAGAGTTTGAGAAGTAGCGGTGTAAGTTCCTTTTTGTATGTTTGGTAGAATTCGCCTCTGAAGCCATCTGGGTCCTGGACTTTTTGTTTGTAGGGAACTTTAAAATTGCAGATTCTATTTCACTTCTAGTGACTGCTCTGTTCAAATTACCTATTTCTTCTTGATTCAGTTTTGGGGGGCTGTTTGTTTCTAGAAGCTTGTCCATTTCTTCTAGGCTGTTGAATTTGTTGGCATGTAATTGTTCATAGTATTCCCTTATGGTTTTTATATTTCTGCGCTATTGACTGTTATATCTCCTTTTTCATTTCTTATTTTGTATATTTGGGTTCTTTCTCTTTTCTTCTTGGTGAGCCTGGCCAGAGGTTTGTCAATTTTGTTTGTCCTTTCAAAGAACCAGCTCTTGGTTTTACTGATTATTTTTCTATTGTTCTTCTAGTCTCTATTTTATTGATTTACCCTCTGATCTTTATTATTTCCTCCTCCTGCTGATTTTAGGTTCTGTTTGCCCTTCTTATTCTTTTATTAGGTTGTTTATTTGAGATGAAGGCCTGTATTGCTATGAACTTCTCTCTGAGAACTGCTTTTGCTGCATCCCGTAGATATTGTATGGTTGTGTTTTCACTGTAATTTATCTCAAGGTATTTTTAAATTTCCTCTTTGATTTCCTTGTTGACCCACTGGTTTTTTAGTAGCATATTGTTTAGTCTCCATGTAACCATTTTTTCCCCCCTCATGTCTTTTTCTGTGGTTAATTCCTAGTTGCATGCCACTGTGGTCAGAAAAGATGCTTCAGATAATTTCTATACTCTTAAATTTGATGAGGCTTGTATTTTGCCCTAGTATGTGGTCAATCCTAGAGAATGTTCCATGTGTACTTGAAAAGAATTGTGTATTCTGGGTTTTTTTTTGGTTGTAATGTCCTGAATATATAAATGAAGTCTAACTGTTCTGTTCTATCAGTTAGGATCTTTATTGCTTTACTGATTTTCTGTCTAGAAGATCTGTCCATTGATGTTGAGTGGGGTGTTAAAGTCTCCTACTGTTACTGTATTCCTGTCCATTTCTCCCTTTATGTTTGTTAGTATTTATGTATTTGGGTGCTCTTACAGTAGGTACATACATATATGTTGATTAGTGTCAAATCGTCTTCTTGTACTGATCCTTTTATCATTATATAGCGTCCTTCTTTATCTTTCTTTATGGCCTTTGTTTTAAAGTCTAGTTTGTCTGAGAATTACAACCCCCACCTTCTTGTCATTTCCATTTGCGTGAAATATCTTTTTCCATTCCCCCACTTTCAATGTATGTGTCCTTTGCCCTAAAGTGGGTCTCTTGTAGGCAGCATATTGTGGGCTCTTTTTTTTTTTAATCCAATCTTCTACTCTGTGTCTTTCGATTGGAGCATTTAATCATTGACATTTAAGGTAATTATTGATAGATACGTATTTACTGCCACTTTAAACCTTGTTTTCTCATTGGTTTTATATTTCTTCTTTGTCCCTTTTTCTTTAGTGGTTTAATGATTTTCTTTTGTATTATACTTATGTTCTCTTTGGTTTCTGTGAATCTATTGTATACTTTTGATTTGTGGTTAACCCTGTTTTTCAAGTATGTTACCCCCTTCCTATATCTATTTGCCTTAGATTGAGCCTATATTATGACTGCCAAACACATTCTAGGAAAAAAAAGTCTACATTTTCTTACTCTCCCCCCCCCCCCCCCCGTTTTATGTTTTTGGTGTGTCCTCTTTTACATCTTCATGTTCATCCTTTTGCTGTTCATTGTGATTATCATCACTTTCACAGAATTATTTTTTTTTAATCTTCGTACTGGCTTATTTAAGTGATTTACTTTCCACTTGTGACTTTCTCTTTTCTATAGATTCTTCTTTTTTATTTGGAGAAGACCTTTCAATATTTCCTTTAGGATAGGTTTAGTATTGCTGTATTCTTTTAGTTTTTGCTTGTCTGAGAAATTCTTTATCTCTCCTATTCTAAATGATAATCTTGCTGGGTAGGGTATCCTAGGTTGCGTATTTTTCCCTTTCAGGACTTTGAAATCTTGCTACTCCCTTTTGGCCTGCAACGTTTCTGTAGAGAAATCAGCTGATAGCCTTATGGGGGCTTCCTTTATTATTAACTCTTTTTCTCTTGCTGCCTTTAGAATCTTAACTTTTGCCATTTTTATTATAATATGTCTTGGTATAGGTCTGTTTGGGTTTATCTTGTTTATCCTGTACCTGGATATCTGTTTCCTTCTTTAGGTTTGGGAAGTTTTCAGCCACAATTTTTTCAAATACATTACGGTCCCCTTTTCCGTTTCTTCCCCTTCTGGAATTCCTATTATAAGTAGATTGGCCCACTTTATCCCATACGTCTCTTATATTGCTTTCATTATTTTTCGTTTGGTTTTCTGTCTGCTGTCCTGATTGGGTGATTTTCATTATTCTACCTTCCAGGTCACTTATTCGTTTTTCTGCCTTATTCATTCTGTTGTTCATTGCCTTTAGCTCAGCTTTCATCTCTGCAAATGAGTTTTCTTATTTTTCTTGGTTCCTCTTTATAGTTTCTAGCTCATTTTTACAGTACTCTGCATTTCTGTCCACAGCCTTTCTTAATTCCTTCAGTCTAATAGACACCCATTTCAACAAGGAGATAATGAAAATACTGAAGAGGTCTGTTTCATTGTTTGTTCTTTCTGGGGAATTCTCTTGGTCATTTAATTGGGAGTGGTTCCTCTGCTTCTTCATTTTACTTACTTATATTGTATTTCTTATATTTAGTTATATCTCTCTTACTCTGTGGTCTTGGAGGGCTATTTATATTTAGGGGCGTTGCTGTGTAGCATGTATGGGTTTAATATATTTGGTGCGAGGGTTGTTTTTAGTATGGATGCATGTTGCCTATTTCCTCAGCATGTGCTGGTCATTATCCCCTCGATAGGGAGTGTGCTGATGCCTGGTCCTGGGATTCTGGGTGGCGGTGGCAGCTCAGGCTCACCCCTGGAGCACATGATGGGAGCGGAGGGAGCTCACGACCACTCCTGTAATCCAGGAGGGAGGTGGTAGTGGCTTGTGACTGCTCCTGGCGTCTGGGCAGGAGGTGGCTTGCTACTGCTCCTGGAGCCCGTGCAGGCAGTGTCCTGACCTCTGAGCGCACACACGGGGAAAAAGGCTACAGTGGAAGGTCCTGCCCCTCCCCTTGTGCATCCCCCAAACAATGGTGCCTGGCCTCTAAGGTGGCCCGGGCTTCCTCCATGTACACTCTCAGGTGCAGTCGCAGTAGATTTCAGCCCCCCACTCACCGCGGCTGTTTCTGCGCAGCCAACCCCAGTCCTCTCCCCAGGTCTGATCTCCAAAGGCCAAGTTCCAGCACCCACCTGCACCGGCAGACATGTGTCTCAGGCTGGGGAGTGCAGGGTGGTGGCACTGACCATCTGTGCAGTCTTCCCACTGCTCTGGCTGCCATAAAACCAGCTGCTGCGTTCTCCTCTGAGGTTCTGAAGCTCCCCTTCTGTCCTGGCTAATCTTCCCACTGGTGAGGGGGCCTCCCAGGGTGCAGGAACCTTTCCTCTTTCACAGCTCCCTCCCAGGGGCACAGGTCCTGTCCTGATTCCTGTCTCACTTTCTTTTTCTCTTTCTTTTGTCCTACCTGGTTATGTGAAGATTTTCTTGCCCTTTCAGCAGTCTGAGGTCTTCTGCCAGCATTCAGTAGATACTCTGTGAGAATTGTTCCACATGTAGATGTATTTGTGGGAGAAGGTGAGCTTCACGTGCTAGTACTTTGCCATCTTGATCACTTATCCATTTCTCCTTCTCAGGATTGCTTTGGCTATTTGGGGTCTTTTGTGTTTCCATACAAATTTTTTAATTTTTTGTTTTAGTTCTGTGAAAAATGCCATTGGTAATTTGATAGGGATTGCATCGACTCTGTAGATTGCCTTGTACTATCCTGTGCATTTCTCATCTAAAATCTTTGTTATTCTTCCTGGCACATCAGAAAATGCTCTGAACAAAGGAAGAGGTACTGACCCCAAAACTAGCCTGGAATAACAAATAAGGAAAGCTACAAGAAGCATGGGGGTTTCTCCAGGACGCCGTTGGTCTCGGCCTGTGCAGCAGCAGAGCTGGGCACTTGGGCAGAACTGCTCAGCATGAGGGTACCACTTCACACACAAAGTTCTGGGCTGAGTGTTAATAAGATCAGTTAGGTTCCTTCTGACAGCTGACACCTCACAACTTAGATGGCATGTCTGCAGGAGCTGAAGAGGAACCATTTGAATCTATGTTGACTTTTTAATGGGGGAAAAAATCAGTTTTGGTGCACGGAATAAACGTGAAGCAGTTAATCATCTCTGTCATGAAAAATCTCTCTCCACAGGGGCCCTAGAGTTCCCTGAAACAGTTATTCTATTAGTTTCATGCCCTCTTACTTTTTTTTCTCCTTCTTCTTTTAACTGAGAGGACAAGTCAGCAAGTTAAATTAATAAATGGAATCCAATAATATCCTTGCTTTTTGTGTTATTCTTCATGTGAAAGTACTTTATAAACCATATAGCACTGTATAAATGCTAATTATTATAAATTTATTCCACATGAAGCTAGATGGCTCAGAAACGGGCATATTCTTATTGCTTATTTTAAAGAATCAGTCATTTTCATACCAGTTCAAAAGTCAAAATGTTTCATCACATTTCAGTTTCAGGATTCTTCTGTACAATAAGAATCTAAACTGAGTTGGAAACAAATGAAGATGGTAATTCACATCCTCTCTACCTCAATACCAAATGTTCCAAAATGTCTCACGACCAGACACCGACCAACTACAGAATGTCCTGTTTGGTGGGCCGGCCATGAGCTGTGACCTCCTCCTAAAGGGGGTCAAGAGCAGTAACGCTTGAACACCAAGGGTCTGGCCTAAAGACTCTTATGTCCAATAAAAACTCAGTTTTATACTCCTTTGTAGGAAGAGTAGGGCTTTTAGAAATACTTCTGGGATAGGGAAAGGCCCCACACTTTGACCTATTTTTTCCGGTGAAAAAATGCACATAAGTCTAAGCATGTATCAGAGTGAATGTTGGTAAAGCTGTTCTAAGCAAGAGACTGACCACCCAATCTCATAGCTGGCCCACTGGGGAGCCTTTTGTAGGAATGAACAGAATAGCTTTATTTATTTTTATAAACAGAGGTAAGTCTGTTCAGCTTCGTTCTTAATTTGCTGTGCTATACCCTGATGAAGGTTGCAATTGTGATTTTCCATAAAACAACAGAAAAGCTGCAGTACCTGGGCAGCCCAAGCCACATGACCCATGACGGGGACCAGCTGGCATCATACTCATTCTCGCTGACAGTGCTGGGCTGCTCATCTGGGCCGTGGGCGGCCTCCTCCACAACCTGCACCTCCAGTGCTTTCAGGGCCACCGTGGGCGACGTGGCGCTGGCCTTCAGCATAGCCACAGCCTCACTGTGACTTAAACTGGTCAAATCGATGCCATTGATATTCAACAAGATGTCACCTGTTCAAATAAGGGAGCAAGAAAAATGAGCCACCAAGTGATTACTTCCCTGTAAATCCTGTTATCTGTAAACTAATTAACAAAGGTTAGTTCCAAAGACTCAGATGACATAAGGGAAAAGACCATTTTTCTCTTTATAATTCTTAGAATACTGAGGAAAAATCCAATTCATGGACAACACTCCAAAACCATCCAAAAATTTTAAATAATGTAATAATATATAGGAAAAGGTTTGGCTCAAGGCTCTGGAATTCAGTTGGGGTCCACATCATCAGCCCTGGTATAGCTGTGGATGGGCCCTGGGCACCTTCATTTCTCTTCTTATCCTTCCTTCCAATTAGAAAGTGATTTGATCTTTTGCTCTTAGAAGGGAATTTTTAATATATTCTACTTTATATTGATATGGTTTTATACTCTAGACAGCCCTACATAGTTCACTCAGTGCAATCATCTCAGTATGCAGAGAAGCTACCCTTGGGCCTACACAAAGAAATGAAACTTGTGATTTGAACATGTCCTGCTTGAAGAAGAAAAGTAGTCTTTGTTGCTCTGCCAAGTAATATAATAAAAAAGAGCAATGAGGCTCATATAAAAGGTTAGGAAGGAAAGGATTAGTTTTATAGGAAGCACAAACGTTTGTACTAAGAAAGCCTGCAGAAAATCCTGCTCCCCCAATTCATCATTTTTCAGATTATTAAAGCAAAACATTCTCTTTGTAGAAAACTTCAAAAACATAAAATAACAAGAAGGAAATAAAATTACCTCAAATTCCACAATAGAACAAATAACTTTAAAAAAGCCTTCTAAAGATATAATTCATACACCATTCAATTAAAGTCTGTAATTTTATGGTTTTATAGTCACAGAGTTGTACAACCATCATGTCATTTTTAGAAAATTTTTATCACCAACCCCAAAACCCTGTACCCATTAGTAATCAGTTCCCTTCCCTGAGTCCTAAGCAACTACTAATCTACTTTCCATCTCTATAGATCTGCCTTTTCTGGATATTTCATATAAATGGAATCATGTGGTCTTTTGTGACTGGCTTTTTACTTAGCATGTTTCCAAGATTCATTTATATTGTACAATGTGTCAATATTTCATTCCTTTTTATGGCCAAATAATATTCCATTGTATGGATAAATCACAGTCTCTTCATCCATTCACCAGTAAATGGACATTTGGGATGTTTTTACTTTTTGGCTATTATGGAAAATACTGCTATAAACCTTCACGTACAAGTTTTTGTGTGAACGTGTTTTCATTTCTCTCGGAATGGAACTGCTGGGTCATATGACAACTGTTTAACTTTTTGAAGAACTGCTAAACTGTTTTACAAAACAGTTGTACCGTTTTACATTCTGTCTGGCAAATATATGAGTTTCGATTTCTTTACATCCTTGCCAAATGTTATTCTTTTTTTTTCTATATTCATCCTAGCGATGAATTTGCATTTCCCAATAACTAATGTCACTGAGTATCTTTTCAAGTGATTATTGGCCATTTGTGTATTTTCTTGGGAGGAATGTCTATTCAGATCAGTTGCCCATTTTTAAATTGGGTTATTTGTCTTTTATTATTGAGTTATAAGGGTTCTGTAATCTCAAACTCCTAATTTATCCCTCCCCACCACGTTTCCCCTTCAGTAACTATAAGTTTGTTTTCAGAGTCTGTGAGTCTGTTTCTGTTTTGTAAATAAGTTGATTTGTTTTTTTTTTTTAGGTTCCATATATAAGTTGATATCATATGATATTTGCCTTTCTCTGTCTGACTTAGTATGATAATCTCTAGGTCCATCCACGTTGCTACAACTGGCACTATTTCGTCTTTTTAATGGCTGAGTAATATTCCATTGTAATATGTACCACATCTTCTTTATCCATTCATCTGTTGATGGACACTTAGGTTGCTTCCATGTGTTGGCTATTGTAAATAGTGCTGATATGAATATTGGGGTGCACATATCTTTTCGAATCATGATGTTCTCCAAATACATGCCCAGGAATGGGATTGCAGGATCATATGGTAGCTCCATTTTTAGTTTTCAAAGGAATCTCCATACTGCTCTCCATAGTGGTTGTACCAATTTACATTCCCACCAACACTGTAGGGAGGGTTCCTTTTTCTCCACACCCTCTCCAGCATTTATTATTTGTAGACTTTTTGATGATGGGCATTCTGACTGGTGTGAGGTGATACCTCATTGTAGTTTTGATTACATTTCTCTAGTAATTAGTGATGTTGAGCATCTTTTCACATGCCTTTTAGCCATCTGTAGATGAATAGACCATAAGTGCATGTATTTATTTCTGGGCTATCCTGTTCCGTTGATCTATATTTCTGTTTTTGTGCCAGTACCACACTGTTTTGATTACTGTAGCATTGTAGTATATAGTTTGAGGTCAGGGAGCCTGTTTCCTCCGGCTCCATTTTTCTTTCTCAAGATTGCTTTAAGCTATTCGGGGCATTTTGTGTTTTCATACAAATTTCAAAAATTTACTGTTCTTGTGAAAACTGCCATTGGTAATCTGATAGGAACTGCACTGAATCTGTTGATTGCCTTGGGTAGTACACTCATTTTGACAGTATTCTTCTGATCCAAGAACGTGGTATATCTTTCCATCGTCTCATCCTTGATTTCTTTCATCAGTGTCTTATTTTTCAGAGTACAGGTCTTTTGCCTCCTTAGGTAGGTTATTCTTGGGTATTTTTATTCTTTTTGATGCAGTGGTAATTGGGATTGTTTCCTTAATTCCTCTTTTTGATCTTTTATTGTTAGTGTATAGAAATGCAACAGATTTCTGTGTATTAATTTTGTATGCTGCTACTTTATCGAATTCACTGGTGAGCTGTATGTAGTAGTTTTCTGGTAGCACGTTTAGGATTTTCTGTATATAGTGTCATGTCATCTGCAAACAATGACAGTTTCACTTTTCCAATTTGGATTCCTTTTATTTCCTTTTCTCCTCTTGATTGCTGTGGCTAGGACTTTCAAAATTATGTTGAGTAAAAGTGGCGAGAGTGGACATCCTTGTCTTGTTCCTGATCTTAGAGGAAATGCTGTCAGCTTTTCACCATTGAGTATGATGTTAGCTGTGGGTTTGTCATATATGGCCTTTATGATGTTGAGGTAGTTTCCCTCCGTGCCCACTTTCTGGAGAGTTTTTATCATAAATGGATGTTGAATTCTGTCAAAAGCTTTTCTGCACCTATTGAGATGATCATATGATTTTTATCCTTCAATTTGTTAATGTGGTGTATCACACTGATTGATTTGTGGACACTGAAAAATCCTTCCACCCCTGGGATAAATCCCACTTGATCATGGTGTATGATCCTTTTAATGTACTGTTGGATTCAGTTTGCTAGTATTTTGTTGAGGATTTTTGAGTCTATGTTCATCAGTGATATTGGCCTGTAATTTTCCTTTTTTGTGGTATCTTTGTCTGATTTTGGTATCAGGGTGATGGTGGCTTCATAGAATGAGTTTGGAAGTGCTCCTCCTTCTGCAATTTTTTGTAATAGTTTTGGAAGGACAGGTGTTAACTCTTGTCTAAATGTTTGATAGAATGCTCCTATGAAGGCATCTGGTCCTGGACTTCTGTTTATTGGGAGTTTTTAAATGACAGATACAGTTTCAGTACTTGTAATTGGTCTGTTCATATTTTTTATATCTTCCTGGTTCAGTCTTGGGAGATTGCACCTTTCCTAAGAATTTGTCCATTTCTTCTAGGTTGTCCCTTATTGCCATAGAGTTGCTTGTAGTAGTCTCTACGGTCCTTTATATTTCTGTTGTGTTGGTTGTGGCTTCTCCTTTTTTCATTTCTAATTTTATTGATTTAGGCCCTCTCCCTTTTTTTCTTGAGTCTGGCTAAAGGTTTATCAATTTTGTTCATCTTTTCAAAGAACCAGCTTTTAGTTTCATTGATTGTTTCTATTGTTTTTATGTCTTATTTGCTTGTGTTTTTGGTGTCATATCTACGGTAAACATTGATTAATCTGTTGCATAATCCAAGGCCATGAGGGTTTACACTTGATTTTCTTCTAAAAGTTTTAGCTCTTACATTTAGGTCTTGGATCAGTTAATTTTTGTGTATGACTTCATTTTTGGAGAAATAGCTTTCAAGACTCACTTTTCCATATGAACCACGTGTATGGAGAATGCTATTGTTACCACTACCACCCCCACCCATACAAATTATATAGTATCAACCAATGGGGGTTGTGAAATTGTGAATGAATTAATCCCTAAAAACCACTCATTTTTATTAAGTTTGTCTCTGTTCCACCTCTTCTGTGATCCTCCTCCGACCCAGACACCTTTTTAATAGGCAACAAGTGTATTTCAGTGAGATGATCCTTCAAAGTATCTGGTCAACCATAATGCTGGAAGCACAAATCTCTTAGAGGGTCTTTTCCAACATAAAATAATCCAACAGTCAGAGTAACTGTTAGAAAGATTATTAAGCTTCAGCAATTTCCCTTTACTTTAGGCATTTTTCTAACCTTATAGAGAGGCTTTATGCTTCCATTACGTACAGGACATTTTAAAGGATTTTAAAAAGCCATGTTGAATAGGAAACTTTGCAGACATTATTTTTAAAAATGTGCGTTGACTTTGGGAGATGTGGTGAAACTGTACAAGATCCTAGCTTACCTCTCTTGATTCTGCCATCACGTGCAAGGCAGCCATGAGGTGGCACACTGGTCACAAAGATGGGCAGTTCCCCACTTTTACTTCCTCGGCCCCCAGCTACTGTCATTCCAAGGGACTCGTGCGGTTCCTTCTTTACAGTAATGTGTTTTTCTTGGCATGTAACACACTGGGCAAGATCCTGAACATGAGAGGAAAAATTTATTGGATAATGAATAATATATATAGTTGAAGTAATGACAGCTAGAGTAAAAACATAACGTGGCAATTATAAAGTCATTAAAAAAAAAATCACTATAGAACTGAAAGCAATACACAGTTCTTCAGAGGCACATGAGCCCTGTGGATCACAATGGCAAACTCTGGACTACTGTATTTTCACAGGACTATATATGGAACTGAAAAACTCAGGACTATTGACATAGGGGAAGTCAAAGTAACATAAGCATATCATTTGTATAATTACCTTCAGCAAAAGTAAATAATGCATTTGAATTTTAAGATTCTGAAGAGAAGCCAATTAATTTTACTTCCATTTTTCTCCTGTATTCTTTGAGAGAAAAGTTGACATAGTATAAAAGTGTGGATTTTACTGTCAGAAAAAAGCTAGAGCTAATACCTTCTGATTCTGACTAACAAGCGCTATCAGAGCACTCAATCATGAAGCAGGTGCAAACCTACCTTCAGAATTTGTGAAAAGCTAAAAGGATATGAAATAATTGAATTTTTGAAGTTAATAACAGGGAAATAAATCCCCAACAAACTATATTCTCAGGGAAAAGCTATTTTTACTGACATATGTTACTGTTACCTATTACTGAGATACTCCTGGAAGAAAAGGAGAATCTAAAATACCACTTTTCTGAATTAGAATTCAACAAAATCAAGGTGTACATATGCAATACGAGTATTAAAATAACATTTATCGAAGGCTTAACTATGTGCAAAAAGCTCACAGCTTTACATGCGTCATTTCATTAATCTTCAGTGGTCCTGAAAAGTAAGTACTATTATTGGCCCCATTTTATGGATGAGGAAATAACTGAGAGAGGTCATGTAACTTGCCCCAAATCATACAACTGTAAGTCCCTGCATAGGGATTTGAGCAGATGCAAATATATAAACATATGCTTTGCATATGTGCACATAATATGTATACATATTGTTTGTTTATATGTACCCACACCACATGATTACTGTCCTGTTAAGTTTAACAGTGGAAGCTAATGTCTCAAAAGGTTTCCAACATTTATCAGCTCTGAGAAAATGAAGGTAATAACACTATTAACAATATCAACAATACAAATATGAGTTACATTTACGGAATTATAACATTCGTTTAGTGGCATTATTTGAAAGTGTTGACAAATCTGTGAATCAGGCCCTGGAATTGCAGGCCCATCTCCCTTGCTCTGGTCCTGGAATCCATGTACCCTTGAAATGTTATTAAGGGAACTACCTGCAATAACAGCCTAGTGTTCCTAGAAAATGTTATGACCTAGTAGAAAACTTGGAAATGTCGTAAGGCAGTCTCCTGTTTAAAGGTATGAAATCTATCTTAGTATCCTTCAAAATTGGGCAAAACCCACTTTATTATGAAGACAACTCATGTAAACTCAGTCTTGAGTGTATTTATAAGCAATTTTGGCTTGCAGGTATTTAATCAATTAAAGGTGGTTGTTTTATTCCTCTAGATGGCTCAGATATATATACATTTTTTTTTTCCCTCAGGAACCAAACCAAACTTCAAAGATTATACTCAGAATACTTCAAGGGAAGTTCTAAATCATACAAATGTTTATCTAAGCAGCTACTGAAGAGGCCTAGTAGCAGGCTAATGTATACTGTAATTTTTAATGATGATTATAATCATCTGAACACGTTTTCTGGTGAATCTGTGTTTATTTTCCCTAGGAGACCCTTATTTTTCTAAATCAGGATTTTATACAACAAATGCAGTATATTAGTAGCAAATAGCTAACACTTAAAAGTACATTTCATGTGGCTGTTCTAACCAATAAGAGTTGCAGAGTACACAGAATAAGAATAAATTCAGCATTACTATTTAAAACGTTGTCACAGAAAATTAAAGACAATAAGAGCAGCAGAGTTGAGAGAAAAATATGTTCCCCAAGAGTTCTCTATATGAATGTTGGAATGATTAAGTACAGTTTTAAAAATTGTCTTAAAAATCATGTCATAGACACTCGTATCTCAAATTACTGTAAAATTCAGTGACATAAAAGGTTCAATAATCAATTTTTGCCTTATATTGTACTTTTAGGAATATATATGTAATGCATAAAGTAAGGACAAGCCATATGAAACTATTCAAAACTCCAAAACAATAACTCCTTTTTCATAGTCGTCATCATGAAGGCAATATTATAGGTTTCCTTCATACTTTGTTTCAGTTCAGAAATGAGAACAAGTCTGTGGTTACATTTTCTTAAAAGTATTAACTAAACCAAAGACCAGTGACAAGTCTGTACTTGAGCTTAGAAAACCAGATAAACCTGATGGGCCAAAAGTACTTGTGCCTTTAAGGGATGCTTTCTTAGGGTACCTGTGACATTCCAAAGGTAAGTACTCTCTCAAATGCTGTACTTACATTAAGAAGTCATTTTAGCACACACGGAACTTCCTTCCTGTGGTTTTAAGCAGACCAACAGATGTTTTTGTTTAGTAATTTATAATTTTACTTAAAGAGAATGACTTTGGAAGTTCATATTGAGCTTATATTTTCACAGTTGAGTAAACATCATTTTAAAAATCCCAGCCTGGGACGTCCATGGTGGTCCAGTGGTTAAGACTCCGTGCTTCCACTGCAGGGGGCACGGGTTTGATCCCACATGCTCAGCCGAAAAAAAAAAGGCAACAAAAAAACAAAGAAACCCCAGCCTACCAGAAAGTGAGTTCAAATGAAGGAAACAATATCAAGAATGAACTACCAAAAAAAAAAAAAAAAAAAAGAATGAACTACCACCCTTTTTAAATTTCTGCAACTAAAGTGAGACAGTATCAAGATTCTCAGCACAGGTAAATGACCTTGGTATATATTTTAAAACCGGTAAAATACTGAAGAAGCAGGGAAAATCCTCAACATACAGGAATTTAAAAATATTTAGGGTGGTCTTCCTATACTATTCATATAACAAAAAATATGCTATACATGTAGCTATTGAAGTTTGAGTTATATGTTTAATATGCACATATCTCTAATTCTGTTGTAGGCAAGCTATCCAGTTGCTAAGTAGAGGCTGTCAATCATTGCCTTCACTATGCTTTTTCAATTACATAACCAACTGTCACATTTAAATGAGTAAGCCAAGATAAACCCCACTTTCAAGCAGAACTAGTCAAACATTTCGCATCAGTCACCTGGCAGAGGGTCCTTCCCCACCAAGAAACTCTACTGGTTGAGGGACTGAGACAATGCAGTCACTCTCCAAGGCAGCAAGACACACTGCGCATCCCACACACCTAGTGCACTTTCTCCAAAAGAGTTAACAGCCCTCATAAATCTTACCAGCTTGTAACGATCATCCTTTGAGCGTGGATGACTTAAGAACCACAAACAAGGCACCTTACCTTATGTGAGCTGGGTCTGTTGTAAGGCAGCGGCTGTGCGTGGTGCTGGCTGCTCTGAGTTCCTGCTTCTCGAACAGCGTTTCCAGGCTGGGGTTTCCCTGGTCTAGCAATTGTTAAATTCACCCTCTCGCCACTAGCCTGGAGAAAACACACAGACACGACTGCCAGTCATTAACGATGCTTCTCATTTCACAAAGCACAGGCACTCTTCACTGAGCCAGTGCCTTGCCTGGGGGGGACTGCAGGCACCCGGTGGTGGTCGTAGAAGGGAGCTCTCCTCGTGAGCTCGTGTTTTAAGACGTCTGCAGCTGAGACGCAAGTGCGCGGCTCTTGGACAGACTCTCCCCAAGCCCGCCTCCACAACAACCCAGGCAAAGCAAACTGGCCCTGTTCTTTCCCCATGATTTCCTGAAGGGTAACTTTCTTCTGATACTTCTCTGCCCCTTCAAGGTTGGCCTTGGCGTTGTGAGGGAGAGAGCAAAGGAAAGAATATAAGAGGAAGAACTGATTAGAAACCTGATTAAAATCCACTGCGACTTTACAGATAAATTCCATGGTGGCTATTTTGGAAGTAATAATCAGTGAAACTATGCACAGCTTTGTTTCTGTTTGCTATAAGTTTGAGTCAAAAATAGGACATCAGCTTAAATAATTCTGGAAAGAATGATTCTAGAGATCCTGTATAAGATTGTATTTATATAAATATTGCACACACACCTGTGTTAATTATCTTATTAGAGGTTTGTGACTATCACTTTAAATTTAGAGGCCCATTATCTATATCCTTATATATTTTAAATGTAGATGTACATCTACTTTTAAAAGTTATTTTATCTTTGCTTTTAAAGTACAGGCCTGATTTTTCTGAAGGTGACTCTTGGTCATGACCACAATTCCCAGCTGCATTATTACTCCTATGGGAAATTATGATGGCCTGCTTTCAAGGAATTGTGGTAGAAAGTGGGGACCTCCCCCATGATTACAGTCAGTAATGTTAAGAAATCACTATTTTCAGTTCTTTCCCCAAGTATTATTGAGATAAATTGACCCACATCACTGTATTATTTTTAGTTTTTAAACTGGAGAATAGGTGTTAATTTTTATGTCTGTCTAAAAAACATTTGCTTATTCAAGCATTTTATTCAACTAAATTTCAAACAAGTTTCTCAAAATAACTGAAAGAAAAACACTTAACATGTGGCCAGATTCCCAAAGCACAGAGTCTGGGTACTTGACCCAAGGGGTAAATACAAAAGAAGAATCCTGATGTTGAAAATTCTGACACTTGACATCATTTGATTGCACAGTGTGAAGTGGTGAGATGCTCCATCTGTGACTGGTCGTCAATGTACATGTACAGAATTGGTTTCATTACTGCTTTACTACCTCATAACCACCAAATACTCTAATTAGTATTTCAACTTTTACTGGAAAACCCCTGCTTATGCAAAACCTATTATTAATAGAAACAAATCCTTGATCTTTCTAGATTTTTTGAAAGACAAAATTCTGTGCATGTGATGGAAGTGGGCATTTAGGACTTAAATGATGGACCAACATTTGGGTTTAGGCTGACTTTAAACAGAATGCACATCTAATATGTCAGGGTTTCAAACACTGCAAAAAAAGTTCTGTTAAATTCAAGATTTTTAAAAATGCAAGATGTTCAAATAACAATACCCTTAAGTCACAGTAGTACACTCTGGTGCTGGGAGTGTAAATTGGTATGATCTGATCTTTCTGGAGGGAAGTTTAGCAAAATGTCTTAAAATGAAAACAAACCATGAAAGTCTGTTAATAGGGGAACACTGAGTGAATCAGCTAGTAAAGATCATGATGGGGTTCTACACTTGCATGGTGAGAAGTTCACAACGTACTGCTTGACAAAGAAAAAGTTGCAAACTCAGAATTTACCAGATAAGCACGTGTGTAAGTATTGTGTAAACTTGTATCTATCTGTGGACACACACACTCAAAAGTTTGTAAGGCTGTCCTCCAAACACTTAACACTGATATAGCTTGGGGTGTTTAGACTGAATTTGATTGGAACTTCTTTTCAGTATTTTATCTTCAGTGTGCTCCTTTTCAGACGTGCAATAATCCTCAATAAGACCATTTTTTTTCAAAAAGAAGTTGAGCAACTTGAGTTTTCTATGTCTGGGAAAAATCACAGCACAAAATATGCAACTATTTGCATTATAAAAATCCAAATAAAATATATTATGAAAAATTTTAAATGTGTTTTCTACCTGTGTAACTAAGGACCGTCTATTTAGGAATTAGTGTACTTTAACACTGCCTGAAATATATACAGGCAATATATTTCTCTTTTCCTTTCCATCTACTCATTGCACTTCTCACTTCAGAAAGTCCACTCGACTTGCCTATTTCTCTTAACAAATCCCAGAAATGGATTCACTTTCTTCTTCTCCGCCCCCCCCGAAAGATGAACTCGTTCTCAGCGGTGCAGCAGCTGGCGTGATCCACAGGTAAAGCTCCTGGTGCCCCGAATGCTGCCTCTGACTTGAGGGAATTTCAAGGCATTCAATTTTTTTAAGCCTCAAGTCTATGAAATAAGACCAATACCTGAACCGCCTCTCAATGCAATATGGCTGTGAGCGTGTGTGTGTGTGTGTTTCCTTAAGGCTATATTGAACCAAAAAGTGGGAGAAACGGGAGTAGGTTAAAGGGGAGTGAGACGTGGGTTTTCTTAGTGTTAAAATCTCATTGTTATTTGATTCTATGTATGTGTGTATATATATACACACACACACACACACACACACACACACACACACACCTATTTCGTGACTATCAACCGACCTTAATTCCAAATGTTCGGTTATATTAACTAATGCTTGGTTTCCAGTGGTAGTGTGTGTTTTGCTCGCTTAAACGCTCCCATTTTGCTTCACCCTCCTACAAGGCTGCAGGAGACAGCCACGTTAAATGCCACAGCACGCTGCAGAGCCTAAAGATCTTCTCAGATGGTTTTTAATGTATCTGCTTTGATGCTCTTAGTAAAAACATGTTTTTTCTCTAATCATGACTACCTCCAGAGATACTGTGAGGACAATGTTATGTGTTGGAAATGCTCTGAATTCCTTTAAAAAAAAAAAAAGGCACTACAGAAATAAGTTGCTCTGAATAAAAAGTGATTTCCCCCCTCATTTTTATGGATTGTGCAGTAAAGGTGAGAGGTGAGTGAAGAGACCAGGTGAGCTACACCCTCGGTGACCACAGCTCCTTGGGGGTCTCACCTTCTCCCTTGTGAAGTGTGTACACTGCCATCTGCCACGTGAAACCGTAGGGCCTTTCCTCCGGAAACAGCCCGCCTACAAGTTCACGGGTGTGCACACCAGAAGGGAGTCACCTGGGCTGAGGTCAGACTGGTGTAGACTGTGAAGAATGTAGGTAGCTGTGCTTGACTGTCCAACGAAGTCTCAAGCACCCCCTGATCCCTGTGTCACCTGCTAGTGAGAACCAAGGCTGAGCGACGGCAGGAAGGCTGAGGGTCTGGAGTGGGCGCGAGGGGGGGCTCACCTGGATGATCTGGGCAGCCAGCTCGGGTGTCCCGTGCTTCAGGTCGTGGCCGTTGACGGCCAGCACCCTGTCGTTGCCGCTCAGCCTGCCGTCCTGCGCCGCCAGCCCCCCTTCCAGCAGGTCGAGGACGAAGACGCCCGGCTCGTCAGTCCTTCGGACGAGTTTGATGCCGAGCTGTTCGGCAGAGTCCCGTTTGTGAAGAACCACCTGGAAAACCTCTTCCGGGGGCGAGCCGCCCACGGGGCGGCTGTGCGCGCGGCCGCCGCAGCGTCTCTCCCGGAGCACGGTGAGGTGCAGCGTGCTGCAGGGCTGCGACAGCACGGCGCGGGCGTGGTTGTGGGACACGCTGCTGATGTTGTGGTGGTTGACCTGGAAAAGAGGGTGACGGCCGAAGCGTGACAATCTTTTATCTTCCCAGCTTGTAGCAATGTTCATCTAAGGGTTCCGAAGGAAACTGACGTTGTGAAGATGATACACAATCATTACTTACAAAGACAAGCACTCCAAAGACATTTAAAAATGTACAGAGTTCCTAAAATTAACTTACAGTGACTAGCATTAAGTAGAGAATAGTCACCAAGGTCACAGGCTTTAATGATAGTCTTGAAAGAGGGTCCTTGGTTCTGCCGTATAACTGGATAACCTCGGGCAAATTACAGAACTTGTTTCCTCATCTGTAAAACGTGTTTACCACCCACTTCATAGGGTCAGGAAGTGCACGACTAGACCACATCAGATACGGCAAGTGCTCATGAAAGACTAGTTCTAGTGGAGCAGAAACTGAAGTTCTACTGGATTACAAATTTACTTTTCCAAAATGAAATTCACTTAAGCTAGAGAAAACAAACTGCGTTTTAAGGAAAGTGGTACACTCAAGTATACAGCCTTATATTAGATGAGTGACTTTTACTTTAAAGAAAAGCCGATAATCACAATTCCACTCTAATTCTTTGGCACACAAGTGTAACATGTATCTTATAAAATAAGCATAAGTTAATACAGAACATTTACTTCTTAAACTTTATAACCTTGAAATAAGTACAGTGACTGATCCTTGAACCTGTAACATCACTGAGAAAATATACCCACCTTCAGTTATTTACCTAGTTAGAGGAATTAGCACAGTTCTTGGTATTTATCACAGTGAGAAGCTCCTCTGAATCTGCCTGAGGTGAAAGTGAGGGGGAACCAGCGCTCTGAACATCGGTTATGTGACAGGATCTGGGTGAGGTGTGATCACCTAAACTCCTTAAATTTTTTTCACGTGAAATCTACGGGAAGCAAGCCCTCCCCACTTTCTGTTAATCTAGGGTTGATAGTTTGGAACACAACTTGAATTTTGTTGATTTTGGCCTGTTGGCATCTTTAAAAATTCAGTCATCAAATTCATAGATGTCATATACAAAGTTGCTATTCTCCCAAGTCTGCAACATCTATGCATTTGGTAGCCATCCAAGTCCTCAATAAAAACACTGAATACAGGGTCAAGTGGAGAATTAAGGCAGTTTCTAAAAAAACTAGCCTGACATGAATCCATTAGTCAAAAACCATCATTTCTGGCGACTCAGCTAAGAGCTACCTATCTCTAGGCTCACAGTTTTCCTTCTTATATTCAGGTATACCACAAATGACTTTACAAACTATCTGGCTGAAATCCGGCCACAGCCGTGTGCAAGCATGCAGCCTCACAGTATCCTTGTGAAGTAGGTGTGGAATGTCCCACAGCTGGAAGACTTTTTCCTTCATGAATGTGTGGTGGCTGGCAAAAGGCAGAGAAAGCAGAGACCAGATAAAACACCGTCTCCAGGCTTCATAAACATAGCACCAGCAATAGGAACTCTACCACTTCGGCTAAATGTGTTTTGTACCAAATGCAATGAACACAGAGCTGCAATGATTTTCCTTCAAAACTGAACATGGCTCAGTCACCGATGATGGATCAAACTGAAAATACCCATTCTTCATAATGCTTCAAAAGTTATATTATCTTTAATAGTGATACTGATGTAATTTATAACTATTTTTTCCCTTCAAACTGCTCAAAAGGCTGCATCACAAAAGGCCTTGAAGGTTATATGGGTCTCCTCTTCCAAGAGGCTATTTAGTAGAATAAGGGGTGTGTGTGTGTGTGTGTGTGTGTGTGTGTGTGTGTGTGTGTGTGTGTGTGTTTAATGCGGGAAAACCAAACCACACCCTGTCGCTGCATACAGTTTGCTAAAATAGGAGCACAGGCAGCTTGGCAGCTCTTTGCTCTATAAATAAACCATCTTGACCACTCTTGGGGATTTTCAGATCAGCTCACTGTATTATTTATGTATCTTATACAGAGTTGGACCAGGTAGTAAACCAGGTAGTAAAAAAATTCCAAGCAGCCTTATTTCCCAGCATTTACTTTTGAATGACCATAAATACTCCACATTTGGGCAAGGGGTGTGGCTTTACTTACTGGCTCCAGCACACCAGTCAGAGGCCGAGCAGAAGTCAGGGCCCACAGTAGGAGAGATCCTTTTGAATCCATTAACCAGGTTATGTGTTCTTTTCTTACCAATTTGAATCATTAAACTGGACTTATTAAGATGATCATTACTAGAGATATTAATATGTGTGCCTCCGTACACAATAATAGTGCCTTGGAATTTCTACAATGTAAATTTATAGCTATGAGTTAATTTCTAAAAATGTAGTCAATAATTTCAGATAACTATAATTTTATTTGAGTTGTAAGGATTCAGTTATGTTACTAAACACAGTTCTCTAAAATAGAAGAGTGAAAGGCCTGCTGCTGAAATATATTAGCAAATAAAGCCTGAAAAACTATTTAACCTCAATGGTATTCAAAGAAATGCAGATAAAAATAAAGCATTTGGGGATTCCCTGGTGGTGCAGTGGTTGAGAGTCTGCCTGCCGATGCAGGGGACGCAGGTTCGTGCCCCGGTCTGGGAGGATCCCACATGCCGCGGAGCGGCTGGGCCCGTGAGCCATGGCCGCTGAGCCTGCGCGTCCGGAGCCTGTGCTCCGCAACGGGAGAGGCCACAACGGTGAGAGGCCCGTGTACCGCAAAAAAACCCAAATAAAACAAAAAAAACAAAGCATTTGTTTTTACACCTTTAGAATTTAGAAAAAGAATGAGTAATATATACAAATGTTAATACCCAATGCTAGTACATCACTGGTAGCAAAAAAGAAAACACAAAAATGAATGTACACTTATTAATAGAGAGGCTGGAAGTGGGAGAAAACGGGAGAGAGAAAGAACGCTGTACGAGCTGCAGACAGGGGCAACCGGGCTCTCCTGGTCTGGGCCGCCCGGGTGTCAAAATGTCAGGGCGGCCAGCGGACTCGGACTGCGAGCTGGGAAGTCGGGAACACAGGGAAGGTTTGGCCAGCCTGGCGCAGCCAGAGTACTAATGTCATAAAAATGACAGCAAATACAGCATACAGTAAATAGCTATCTTTTACTAGTAAACACAGTGAAGAGCTAGCTACGGTATGATCAGGAAGCTGATTTTATATAAGCAGGACTGGTTACACTTCCTGTACCCCCTATTTCTTCTTAGTATTTAGTAAGAAACAAAACCCTGCTAGAAAGCTTAGTCTGTGTCAGCCTTGCTAAGGGCAATGAAGGAAGGGTTTGGGGCCCGAGTGTGTTAAAGTGGGAATAACACATCGTGAGGGGCAGTGTACAAGTGGGAGTGGAAAAATTCCTAGAGGGTCCAAGTTTTGTTTTAATAAAGGAGATGGCTATTCCCGACAGGATGTTATATCCAAGTCCACTCTTTTACTGATTCAGCAAGTATTTCCTGTGCTTATGACATGCACAGCACTATGAGAAATCTGTATCACAATTGGTACCGTTAGGGTGGCTGCAATCACCATAGAAAGTCAAGCCCATTTAAATAGTTCACTGTGATTATACGCCAAGAGCTGAAGAGTAAAGCAGTGAATGTTGTCAGTAATTCAAGTAAGGAGAAGTCAGAACGGGCGAGAAGGGCTGAGCAAAGCTCTTAAGGATGAAGGTGGACAAGCCAGCACGGTGGGACAGCCTGGAACTGGGAGCGAGGTGGCAGCAAGAAGATTGCCATGTCTGGCTTTTCCACTGGATTATAAATTCCACGGGGACTGGGGGAGTACCTTGCTCTTAGTTGTATTCTCAGTGGCTAGTACAGTGCCTAGAACATTACAGCTGCTATGCGTGAAGCAAAAAGGAAGCGTTAAGATGAAGATGACAGGCTGTGCAAGAGACCACAGAGGACCGTGAATATGAATCAGTCTGGGTGGGATGCTCTAGTCACATTTTCCCAAGGAAAGCAGAGTTACAGATACATTAAGCTGGCAGTGATTTTGTCGGACTGAAGAGCGGAGAGCTGGGCGGCAGGGACGTCTGGTGGGGTGTGTACAGAGTTAGACACAGCAGTGGGGGCCTGGACTGAAGAGGGAGCAGGGAAAGGGGGAGTGAGGGGTGGGTGCCAACACATCACGGTGAGGACCAAACAACGAAGGAGGGAGGAGTCCTGGAGCTTGGGTTCCTAGAAGATAGTTTTCCTTGTGTGAGCATGTATTCTCTCTCCTTCTGGAGGTTACTATTTCTTTTAGCTTCAACTATCAACTACATTTGTATGACTCAAATACCCAGGCCAGTAGCCACAGAAGTCCAGTCCCATACAGAAGAATCCTCCCCTCCCTCTCCCCTCAGTCCCATGTGCCCTCTAAGAAAACACCACCTTGTCCCAAGCTAGTTCTTTTCGGGGAATAGCTATTTTTTCTTAAATATCATCTTCTGACAGAGAAGGTGAGGGTAGCACCAAGGGTTAATGAGTGGAGTGCACACTAGGGAGCCAACGAGACGGGTATCGTTTCTGAATTCCAGCTTAAATCCCATGGTATAAATTGTAACTAACCAGTGCTGCACGGTCTGTCTTTTCCAGGTGGTAGTAATCAGTGTAGCAGAGGAAGGTAAACTAGACAGTGCAGGTGATGGGTGGATGAGAACACTGGACCTGGGATCAGAGGACGTCAGCATGGGTGGGATGGCTCTGAACCAGCCAACCCTGCAGACCAAGCCGGGAAGAGCCCAGCCGCCCCCAAGAGCCCAAGCACTGCAAGCACAGCCACATGCGGGACCGGAAATAAAGTAGGGAGAAAAACTACATGCCATGCATATGGGGAAACAGGAGAAATTACAGATAAATTCTGACTTGTTTTGCATATAATAGCAGTAAAACTAACCTATATATACAACTCAAGTTCCACAGTACCACAATGTCCTGGTTTTTGTGGTTTTCTTTGCGGTACGCGGGCCTCTCACTGTTGTGGCCTCTTCCGTTGCGGAGCACAGGCTCCGGACGCGCAGGCTCAGCGGCCATGGCTCATGGGCCCAGCGGCATGTGGGATCTTCCCGGACCGGGGCATGAACCTGCGTCCCCTGCGTCGGCAGGCGGACTCTCAACCACTGCGCCACCAGGGAAGCCCACAATGTTCTGTTTTAAACTTATGAATAAGAACAAAAGAGCGCAAGTTAACACAGTAATTAAAATGGATACCTGAAGAATCTGGTCTCCAGCAAGAAGTCTCCCATCTCTGGCGATTATCCCATCCCGGTAGACTTCCTGGATAACAATGTTAATCAGTGGCGTTTCATTGCCACCCACAATGCTAATTCCTAGCTGAATATAAGGATTAGACCGGTGAATTTCAATTGTGGTGATTTCGCCTTCTGGTAAACTAAGTGGCTGCTGTGTGGCTGCCAAGTTAGAAATGAGAGAGAGAAATAGATGGAAAGAGAAACATTTTATATTTTGGTTATCATCTTCAGGTAAATAAGTCATCTTACATTAGTAGATGGTAAAGAACTATGCAATACCGCTGGATAAGGAAAGCAGAATGACAAAAAGTATCTGTTAAGATTATCTAAACATTTCTTGTCCCAAAGGTGATCAGCGAATTATCACAAATGGCTACTACGTCTCAGATCATGAGGGGCGGCACAGTGATCTGATGGAGCAATAGTAAGAGAACATCATCTCGACCTAACTGACGAGAGACGGTTTGGTCGGTGGAACACGTGTAAACAATGCAAAGAAGCATAAAGACGACTCTGTGGTATGTGATCACCACGGGGTGAGAGAGGAGTCCCAAAGGCTCTAAGAAGGGGTGGCTCTTGGAAAAGGGTTATTATGGCTGGGGCAGGGAAAATTTGAATTTGTAGTAAGATTTGGAATTTGTTCAAGAAAAGTATATTTAAAAATAAATACCTAGAGCCAACCATCAAGACGTGCCCAAGATCCATGACTACAGGCCTTCTGTTCACTCCTAGTGGCTGTACAGTCAGATTCGTGGCGGCCACCAGAGCAGAGCAATAGTCACAGGCGTGGCCGTGGGGTCAGATACACACCCAGCCCTTCCCCGGCAGCATGAGCCGACCAATTCGTCTCAAGATTCAGGCCTCTCCTGTCACAAACCAGCTCCCAGCACCGTCAGTGGCATTTCGTCAGCTAACGGATGGGAAGGGTGTGGCACACGCGTGACACGGGGAGCGCTTAATTTGCGATATTATTTTTGTTGCTCTTGATGTTCTTTTCTTAGTCAAGAAGCAACAAGCGTTTGCACACAAACACCCAGTAAGAAGGTTAACAACCAGTGAATCATGGACTAAACAGAAGAGGGAGGGAAGGGTCACCTTCCTCAGAGTAAGTTCCGAGCTCTGCTTCTAAACTGCAAACTGTCAGACTTGTGCACTTAAAAGGGTGAGTTATGTGCTATGTGGATTATATCTCAAAATTAATTTTTTTAAAGAGGAAAGAAAACGCATGTTGGGAGAGCAGCAGGGAGTGGTGGGGAGGAAGGCAACGCCCGGTTTGAGAAGAGGCGAGGAACACAGGCGGCCGACACGTACTGTCCCCGGTGGGGCTCTCCTCGAAGGCGGGGTTGTCCAGGCCAGGCTCCTCCGTCCAGGCGGGAAGGGACGCCGATGTCAGGGTCGGCCCTGAACAGTCCGCTTCGGGTGATAAAGTAGCTGGAAGATCTATGACCGTGGTTCCATTTTCATTCTCGATCTCCGTCTGAGCTTTACTAGTTTTCCGTCTCTCCAGGGCAACTCTCTGATGAGAAGCTCCAGGGCATCTAGAAAGAGAGCATCAGGTGGTTTCCAGATGATGTGAAAGGAAAAAAAAAGTGATTAACAGTTTGTACCACAACAAAACAATGGCAATGGCTTCTACGCAAAAAGCACCTGGAAGTACCCACAAGCATTTCCACTCAAACGAAGTTCTTACCACTCCACGGAGCAAATTTAAAACAAGGCATTTGCACAAACATGTACTCAGGAATCTATTAGTACCAGAAATAACATACACAGTGTAGTACACCAGTACAGTTCTCCCTGCACTGTGAGAATCATCCTGAGGTCCTGATTTCATAGCCCCTTTTACAGGTTAAATGGCTGGACCACAGGAGTGGAAACCAGCACCTTCCTCCACAAGCCCCCTGCGTCCTGCCTTAGACCCTGAGCACCCTGGTGCCTCTCCGCTCTCACACCCAACACTGCACATCACCTGTTAGTGGGTGGAAATACATCTGAAGCTTTACCACTTGCAGGAAGGCACAGCAAAGGCTCAAATTTATGACAGGCATGGGAGGAGAGGAAAGCGTATCTCCTGGTTTGTAAACACAGAATTGCAAGAGTGGAATTACAGATACGCTATGAAACTTGAAGAATATATTTCTAAGTACTGGGGAAACTTACATAAGCACCAAGAAATAAGGGCTGTTAACTCGCTTGCTTTTACTTACTTAGGCCAACAAAGGGGCAGATACATGTTTGTTTAAATGTTTAAAGAAAGTCTTTATACACAGATGTTAGCAGTGCTGCAAGGTGCCAGTTCTTTCCACCTGACACCCTGACTGGACAAAGTGACGAATAATGCCCAGTTGGAGGAGCGGGTGGAAGAACCGGGGATTTGTACAGGAGCCAGGCCCACGCGCCTAGACCCCGACACGGCTCTACAGACCCTACCTACTATCCTGTTGGGGTAAGAAGTTTAGGAAAGGGTGGGCAGGATCGGCGACAGTCTCGTGGCTAGGGCTGCAGACCTTCATTAAATAACAGTATTCTTAAAAATCTAAAATTTCAATCAAAATTAAGGACAGAATTCAATTAAAATTGAAAGCTATTCCTTAATGATAAGAGTAATAAAATTTCCCTCATGAACTGAAGATTTATTTTAGGTCCTGGATTTCAAGTTCTTGAAAAGGATCATTATGAAATTTCTTTATTCAACACTCTCTCCGGACATGCTTTCTCTTCACCTTGCTAAGAAGGGGGTCCACTTATTTTCTTCCAGGGAGTGTTTCTGCAAGGGCCTGGCAGACATGTTTGAAAAGGATGTCACTGAAAAAATTACTTTTGTCAAGTAAGCATATTTAATTAGAAATGCATTTTTAAATATTTTATTCAACAAAAAATTGACACTAAAAACTGAATCAGAAAGAATACTTTTGAATAAGAAGACAGGTAATGATTTAGTTCTCAAAATATGTATCAAACACAAATATCTACACGGCCAATGGCTAGTCTTTAATGGAATAGAAGGACTAGGAACAGGAATTGAAGAGGAAATACAAACGATGTGAACACCTGGGAATTAGCCTAACAAGCAACTAAAAAATCCTACAAACTAAATAACCATAAAGGCTAAGATATAGTTATTAAACATGGAAAAACAAATTTAGAAAGCAAAACTTAAGATTGTTAGACAGGTGAAGAAACAGGTATACTTAAGTTCCCAGTAGGGCAGCAAATCGTTAACAGGAATTAAAGACATTAAAAATGATACTATGTAAAAATATGGAAGAATGATCCTACCCGGGAATAGAGGAAGGTTACAGGGGGAACCTTCGGGAACACCCGTGTTTAAACACGATGGAGCAGCTGAGTAGACCGAGACAGAACAACCAGACAAGAGTGTCAACAAAGAAAAAGCGGCCAACTGTGCAAATGCCATAAAGTGGGCAAATAAGATAAGGGCCAAAGCACTGGTTTGATTTGGAAATTAAAAGGTCACGGTGACCTTAGAAAGAACACTTTCAGTGATGAGGGCAAAAGCCCAGACTATAAGACAAGCAGTTCTGTTAACAAAATAACATGCATTCCACAAAACTGCACACCAAAACTTACAGAGCTTAGGCGGAAAGACGACCGGGATAGATGATAGACCATTCAACACCGGGGCATCTGGGGATGGAGAATGGCTGCTAATGGGTACAAGGCTTCTTTTTGGGGTGTTGACATGTTCTAAAAGTTAGATTGTGATGATGGTTACACCATTCTGTGAATATACTAAAAACCACTGAATTGTATACTTTAAAAATAGGTGAAGTTTACGGTAGGTAAAATATATGTCAATAAAACTAATTTTTAAACAAAAGGTGAATAGGGAATGAGTAGATCAGGGCAGGCTTGGACAAAGAAAAGCCCCTGACCACAGACATCCCACAGCCAGCATCCCTCAAATTTGTAAACATTTGGAACTGAAAGAGAAAGGAAGAAACCAGAATTTGCTGGGTGTCTAATTAGGGCCAGTCACTGTGTAGACTTTATGTTCAGTATTTCACTGAATCCTCAAAACTGCTCTATCATCCCCATTTTACAAATGGGAAACTTAACTCACTAAGCCAGCATCACATAGCTGTTAAGTTATGGAGCCAAAATTCAAGCAAACTCAGATCTGATTTAAAGGTGCCTGCTCTTTACACTGGATCATACTAAACTTACGGGGTTATTTTCCCAGGCCTTAAGAAAACATAAATTGAATTTGTTCCACAAACTTGTACCTAGCAACACAGTCATAGAATGTTAGAGTGAGAAAGGCTTTGGTGATCATGGAAACACAAACGGAAATCACAAACAGCAACAAAAACCTGTGCATCTTTTTAAGTGGAGCATTTAACAATAACAACACAAACCACAACTGGCATAGGGGGATATAAGTGGGATCATTCTAGCAGGTAACTGAGTGTAGCAGGAGGCTATTACACATGATTAAAAGCAACAGAAAAGTGCCTGCACCACTGAATGACATCAGGGTAGGCATGGGCTCAGACGATGCAGGTGGAAGTGGAGCCCTGAGACAGTGGGCTGCCCTTAACAAGGGCACTGGAGGCAGTGTGACCTGCCACAGGCTGGTTTGGAGGCAGTGTGACCTGCCACAGGCTGTGCCCCCGAGGCAGGCTTCTCTACATGCAGGTGTGTCTTTACATTTTTCCTAAATAAAGCCCAAAGGCTCTTGCAGCAGCTACAGCCAAACTGAGGGGCTTTTCCTTTCCTGCTGTAGGTTATAATTTCATTCCACTATTCTGGCTCTCCTTATCAGGAAAATCACATATGAACTAGCTTGATTTATGGCATGGTGGCATCATTCCCTGAATAACGAGGATTCACATTAGGAAACATACAGTGTAACAGAGCACACTGTATTACTGGTAGCACTAATAGGGTTAGTGGTGGTGGTGGCAGCAGTAATAGTAGAGGTAAAATCAAATGGGGCACGATAAGCGCCAACACAATGCCAGGTACTTAATGCAACTCAAAGAGCGTGAGCATCTTAGAACCAAGAAAAATGATAGAGTTACGGATTACAACATGCAAACATCACTTTAAGTGACATCAGTGAAAATGTTAGATTAAGGGTATCTGAAAAGCCTCTCTTCCACAAAGCAACGCGAACACTGGCAAAAATTGTCAGAAAAATTTCTGAGCTCTGGAAAGAAGCCAAGGTTCTGCAGCAATCTGGAGTGCATTTATTTAAGAAAAATGGCTGAGTCTTAGAACCCTGCTGAAGGTTATAATTTCATTCCACTATTCTGGCTCTCCTTATCAGGAAAATCACATATGAACTAGCTTGATTTATGGCATGGTGGCATCATTCCCTGAATAACGAGGATTCACATTAGGAAACATACAGTGTAACAGAGCACACTGTATTACTGGTAGCACTAATAGGGTTAGTGGTGGTGGTGGCAGCAGTAATAGTAGAGGTAAAATCAAATGGGGCACGATAAGCGCCAACACAATGCCAGGTACTTAATGCAACTCAAAGAGCGTGAGCATCTTAGAACCAAGAAAAATGATAGAGTTACGGATTACAACATGCAAACATCACTTTAAGTGACATCAGTGAAAATGTTAGATTAAGGGTATCTGAAAAGCCTCTCTTCCACAAAGCAACGCGAACACTGGCAAAAATTGTCAGAAAAATTTCTGAGCTCTGGAAAGAAGCCAAGGTTCTGCAGCAATCTGGAGTGCATTTATTTAAGAAAAATGGCTGAGTCTTAGAACAGTGAGCTCTATAGAATTTGAACTTGCCCTATTCCCATCCCCACCTCCCCCAGTAGGCTGGCATAGCCATGGCCCACAATCACAGTGGAATCAGGAGTCTGGCAGCCACTGGAGGAGCAGACTAGAGCACGTGCAAAGCCCCATTTGTAGAGAATTGTCATTAAATGACCTGTTGGTTCCCTGGAAGACCTCACTTGCAAGGCTGTCTTTATCTGACCTGACCTGGGGCTCACTCAGTGCAAAGGCATTTGTTGGGGGCGGGGGAAGGCAATTGTGTAAGACTGTGGCTGCCTGAGGTAGACCAACAAAAGGCTAATCAAAAAGTTTAAAAGGAAAAGCTAGGGAATGAAATGTCCAGGGCTATGTGCATGCACAGGAAAGAGCTGAGAAGGCTCTAAGCTCTCACTTCTGGCTAACACTGAAGCTACGTGAAAGCAGGAGATGAAGGCTAAGCAGGAGTGTCAACTGCCTGAGTGTTGAAGGTGTGCCCCACCGTGCACACAGAGCCCCTTGGGGAGAGTGGGAGATTCATCGGTTACAGGCATTTAAGAAATTCTCTGTTCAATCATTAGCTGATTAGAAAAATCACTAAACAAACAGTAACGAACAGCAATAATAAATCCTGAAGAGAAAGAAGAATCTGATTTCCAGAGTTGCCACATTATATTATTTAAAATGTCCAGTGTTCAATACAAAATTAAGAGACATGCAAAGAAATAAGTAAGTATGGCCCATACATGGGAAAAAAAGGAGTTAACAGAAACTGTCCCTGAGGAAGCCCAGACAT